GACACCAGGCCTTCATCAGCATCTTCATCTTCTTCATCGGCACCAGGCCTTCGTCAGCGTCTTCATCATCTTCATCGGCACCGGCACCGGGCCTTCATCAGCATCTTCATCTTCATCGGCACCGGGCCTGGTCCTGCAGCAGCATCTTCATCTTCATCGGCACCAGGCATTCATCAGCATCTTCATAGGCACCATCACTGGGCCTGGTCCTTCATCATCATCATCTTCATCTTCATCAGCATCATCACCGGGCCCGGTCCTTCAGCATCATCATCTTCATCAGCATTGTTACCAGGCCTGGTCCTTCAGCAGTATCATCATCATCATCATCTTCATCAGCATCATCACCTTGACCACTTTAACCTTTTCCATGACTCCCTGCAGCACGGCAGCAAGGAATTACAACCTGATGTAAAACCAGATTATATAAAATAATCCATTACTGCCTCTATTTGTGCTTCACACACACAACCCAGAGTCATTAACTCCATGATCTTGGAGGTCTTTTCCCACCTAAACGATTCTGTGATTCCCGTTGTTCAATCTGTTTGTAGTCGCCACGAGGTGGAGGCATGAAGACACAAACAGAGCTCGTTAATGAAGCACCTAATTACTCCGGGGTTTAATTTGCTTCACTGCCACCAGAGGGAGGAGGGGACGCACCGGAGGCACTCCCAGGAAAACAAAACTCCAACGCAATTCCCAGCAGAACGGCCTAAGGTTGTTAGGGAGTGCTCATCCCGAGAGTTTTAGGGAGTGCTCATCCCGAGAGTTTTAGGGAGTCCTCCTGTCACCTGGAGCAGAGCAGTCCCCTGTTCGTGGCTCATCCACACTGCCATCAAATCCTTTGGAAAGCTCTGGCGACCCCAAAGTTAACAAAGCTTTCTGGAGCAGCCCGTGTTGACTTTAAGTCAATAAACCCCAAACCCCACATGCCGCACGCAGCAACTACTGAATTAATAAACTGTGTTATCTCTGCCCATCGCTCCGGAAAATCACCCCGAACAGCAGCTCCCAGAGCCCGCTCCCACATACCAAAGGATTTAAGGTGTCCTCGAACTGCAAAGGCTGAAAACTCTTTTCAGTGGAGATTCAGTGCAGTTCAGAGAGAGGACGGAGCTGCTGAGCTCACCCGGCTGCTCGCACCGGGTGGAAAATCAACTCCCAGACAAGTGTGTTTGAACTGAGACTTTAATCAACCCCCTAATGAAATTCCAACAGAGCTCCAGAGCCGGGCTGAGCTCCCTTCAGCTCCCCGAGGGCAGCACAGGCGGCTTTAAGAGACGTGACCGTGCTGGAACTGCCGAGCGCCAAGAGAGGGCACTCGGAGACACTTTGCCAGGGGTTACACACACAGTTGTGCTGCCCAGTTTGTCCCGGTTTGGGAACAAACTGGCAGCTCCTCCCCTGCCAGTTGGGACACTCTGGTCACCGCTTGCCTGTGACAGGACTTGGAAATCAGCTGGAGAAAAGAGTCCAACCAGGACAGTCCAAGGAGCTGAACGTACTTGGAGAGGAGCACAGGGAGTACCCGAAGGCAGCTCTGTCTGAGCTCCCAGGGCTCTAACACAGAGGAGAAGTTGTTCTGCCCCGTGCAGATCCTCTGCCCACGCTGGGAATGGCAGAGGCCGGTGCCAGCGTCCTCCTCCTCCGCGCCTGCCTGGTGCTGCTCGCCTTCCCCATCTACCTGCTCTCCTTCCTGGGCGTGTGGGAGCCCTTCTGCAGGAAGGTGTTTTTTCCTTTCGTCTTGGACAAGATCGCTGCAGTTCACGACAAGAAATCCAAGAAGCACAAACAGGAGCTGTTCCGGAACCTCCAGGACTTCCGGAGCCCCTCGGGGGAGCTGAGGCTGCTGGAGATCGGCACCGGCAGCGGCTCCAACTTCCAGTTCTACCCCTCGGGCTGCAAGGTCACCTGCACCGACGTCAACCCCAACTTCCAGGAGAGCCTCACCAAGAACATGAAGAAGAACCAGCACCTCCACTACGAGAGCTTCCTGGTGGCTGCAGGGGAAGACCTGCACCAGGTGCCCAGCGGCTCCGTGGACGTCGTGGTCTGTACCCTGGTGCTGTGCTCGGTTCAGAGCGTGAGCAGCACCCTGAGGGAAGTGCTGCGGGTGCTCCGGCCGGTGAGTACCTGCATTAAACCTTTTACTGCCTTTATCATCCGCTCCAGAGGCACCTTGCCACGAGGAAAGGGGAAAAAATGTATAAAAAATTGGTTTTGAGCTTAAAAACCAGACAGGGGTTGGTTCCTGCAACCATTCTGCACATGGGACTGGTCAGACTGGTTTAGTCTTAAGAGTAAAATCCTAAAAGCAACACTCTGCTGACTAAAATTGCTTCACAGTTCACATCATTTAAAGCAGAATGTGGTGCTGTCCCTTCCCACTCACATGACTTTCCTTGGGTGGGAAGTTCTGATCAAGGCTGAAAGTCTGGATTTTCAGTGAAGTGCTTCGGCCTCTCTGAAGTGGGGCTGCTCCACCTGTATGACCAGACCAGTGTAATTAAACACCTTCTCCCCTGGAGTTGCTAATGAGCTGCAGACTAAAACCACCCTCACGGGGAGGAATTTCTTCCCAATATCCCATCTAAAATCTGTTCTCTGTCAGTTTGAAAGGCAATCCTCTGGGTTGTCAAAAGCCAATGGGTTGGAGCAGCATTTACACATTTCTCTTTGGAAAAAAAGTCATGTTAGCAACTAACTGAAACAAAGCCATAACAAGTTATTGCTGGAATAAAAGAGGGATCAAATAAGTCAATTCTTTGTGCTTTTTGAGTTTCTGCAAGTTTCCTGCTTTCAATAATTCCAACTGATACAGGGAGGAGAAGAGGGAAAAGGGAAGGGATAAGACAGTGGGAGCTGTTTAGCATGACCCCCACACTCACTGTAAGAGACTCTGTGTTCCCAGGGAGGAGCTTTCTATTTCTTGGAGCACGTGGCCGCCGAGCATTCCAGCTGGAAGTATTTTTGGCAGCAGGTCTGCTTCCCAACTTGGAAACTCGTCTTTGCTGGATGCTGCCTCACGAGAGAGCTCTGGAAGAATCTGGAAGAGGCCAAGTTCTCGGAGCTGAAGGTACAACACATAAGTCTTGCGCTGCCCTGGACGCCCATCGAGCCGCACATCGTGGGGTACGGGGTGAAGTAACCCCCGTCCTGCCCGGCTGCTCCCTGTGCCCCCGAAATTCCTCATCGTGACCAGCACACCCAGCACGGCACAGGCTCCTCAGCACGTCCCTCTCTCGGTGAAGGACTTAAATCAGAAACTGAATTAAGTGTTAATTGAGAAGAGAGGGTCTGTTTTCTGAGCATCTCCGAATCACAGAATTGGTCGGGTTGGAAAAGCCCTTTTGGATCAGAGTCCGACAGTTAACCCAGCACCAGCACTGTGGTCACCACTAACCCACATCCCCAAGTGCCACATCCACACGTTTTTTGAACATTTCCAGGGATGGTGGCTCCACCACTGCCCTGGGCAGCCTGTTCCAGTGCCTGACAGCCCTTTCCGTGAAGAAATTTTTTCTAATCTCTAATCAAACCTCCCCTGGTGGAACTCGAGGCCGTTTCCCTCGTGAAGCCCTGGCACTGCTGACCCAGCCACGGAGGATCCCAGGAGAACATAAACCAGCCCAGCAGACAGGAAAATAAATGTATTAATGGAAGGGAACTGCTGCCTGTGCCTGGTTAACTCTGGGATGGGATTCCTTCAGGTGTTCCCCACCTGGGATGTGGCCGGGGCTCCATCGGACCCCCTGTCCCCTCCCCACGATCCCTCACGGCTGTTCCTGTTCCCCCTGATGGAACCCGTGTAAACCCCAAATCCCAACCCTTCACCCAGGGGAGGGTGAGACCCCCCAAACCTTTACTCAAGTGAAAGTGAGACCCCTGAACCTTCGCTCAGCTGAGGGTGAGAACCCTAAACCTTCGCCCAAGTGAGAGTGAGGCCCCTGAACCTTCGTCCAGGAGAGGATGAGCCCCCTAAACCCTTGCCTAGGTGAGAGTGAGACCTCTGACCCTTTGCCCAGGCGAGAAGGACATCCCCTAAAACTTTGTCCAGGTGAGGGTGAGACCCCTGAAACTTTGCCCGGGTGAGGGTGAGACCCCAAATCCTTTGCCCAGGTGAGGGTGAGTCCCCCGAACGGCATCTTCTGCGAGGGCTCCCTGAGGGCAGGACCGGTCGGTCCCTGAGGGAGGGCTGGTCCCAGAGGGAGGGCCGGTCCCTGAGGGAGGGCCGGTCCCTGAGGGCA